CAACACTGAACCAATTCTTAGCAGCATATTTTGATGAATCTTCATCTTCCCTTTTTAAATATCTTTTACCAAAGGATTTCAAATAATTATTTGATTTAAGAGTAGACTGTACTAATTTAAATTCCCTGTTAATCGTATCTGCCTCAGTAACAAGACGTTTGGCTCTGTTAATCAAATTCTTAGCCACAGTTACTTTGGTGGTAAAGGGATCTACTGAATTGTAATCCAGATATCTGTCTGAATGTGTAGGCTTTCTTAAGATATTGATCTTTAGTTTACCATTACACATCGTGACTGGATGGACGTCACTGGTCACGACTTCTCACTAGAACTCCAGGAAACTCCATCCTGTAGCAAGTCACTAGCGAGCATCAGATGTCCCACTGATGACATTGGTTGGGGTCGCGCTAAATCATGAATTGGTAGAAGTTAGAATTCATGAGCCACTGAAACGAGTCCCAGTGGCTGAATGGTATACGAGCATTGCCTTGTAACTGGAAGGTCGTGGGTTCGAACCCTGGCAGTGGGTGCGTACTGATGATGATTCCCAAACTAGGATGAAACAGCAGCTGTCCAGTACTCCCTGGTTTTCAATGGTTCTCTAACTGATATCAATTCGTGATTAGCTGGTAAAAATAAAACTATCATTGCTGAAAGTCACTTGTGTCTACTATCGACTTTGAGTACAACTAAATTCTGCTGACTAAGTGATAAGTAAATTAATACTCTTACGAAATATAGAATACAAATTATACATTGGATACTAGCTAGTAGTAACTAATGTCATACATCCAGTCCTTCGTGTATGGTGTAGACTAGATTCTATCAGTTAGCTGAAGGAATAGACACTTAATGTAAGTTACTACTTAGTGTCCAATGAAAGTGTCCATTACAGTCCTACAGAAGGTCTACTGAGGGTCTAAACAGCTCAGTGGTAACGTCTCTGACTGCAGTACAGTATGGTTAGGGTTCAAATCTTAGAAGGGACATGAGATCCTTTAAGACTGTAGATACGACTTGCTGACTGATGAGTGCCAGTAAGCACGAAACCTAAGTCTAAGGCATCCTGTCGATTGCTTCCAACCATCTAACAATAATCTAAATCTAACGCTACACAGATCCAATCACTTGTAATTATCATACATATTAACAGAAACGTGTATTGCCGTTACTTAGCTCTGTGGAAAATGAAAACAAGTGATACAGCAAAGAGACTCTTTTTAGCGAATTTTTATTATCAAGCCGTACAGTTGTATGTATATGATTTCTAAAAAATAATAATGCGGAATGGGACAAAATCAAAGTTAAACATCCAACGTCTCACTTTGTTGCATGGTGTTTTGTTTCACTGCTAATCTCATTAATTCTAACCCCCTCTCCTTCCTAACATCTATGCATTCCATGAACTCCTTTGTGTATTACACATAGCTTATCTTATTGCCTGCTGTTTAACTACAGTCATAATCATAAATATTTTGTCCCAATCCACATTATTATTTCAAAAAATAATCCTATATGTACAATTGTAGGGATTGATAATAAAAATTCTTTGAATCAATTGTTTTACCGTCCTAATGGCTTAGCTATATATAACATGATAGCAGTGTGTAACTGTAATTGTAGCGACCAAACACCGACTCGTTGTTGATCTGAACACAAGAAACTTATCTTTACGTTCTACTGTATAGCTACTGACCAAAACTTCCTTGAGACACACACACACACAATCACAAAACGCTCGAAAGACAGCAAAAAGACGGTTATTCGTCGTAAGATCAATGTGGTTCCATTCAACAAAACTCAAAATTACCTCAACAATAAATGCCATTAGGCAGATATACAGGCTAAATAAGTTTCCAGTACAAAAAACAAGCACTGTAGAACAAAAATCAATTAATTGGGGATGGTGACTAGCAGTGGAATCCAGGATGTGATTTCGTCCACTGCTAGTCACCATCCACCAATTAAATTCGAATTACATGCCCAGAAATCGTCGAAGCATCTGCACAAGAAGCCGACATGTCAACCTGAACGAGCACCGCACGGGAAAATCTAAATTCATTGAAAAATTAGTTAACCAAAATTCAACCATGAGAAGTATCTGAGAATCAAGTAGTATATTCTTAACAAGGCGGGATCAAAACTCTGTTAACAACGATCACACAAAATATTCCGGCAACAAGCCCAAGGTCGGGATGACCTTGACTCAGTCAAACAAAATCTCATCTGTAAAACAACGCATTACCAATATCATGATTACGTAACCACAAAGCGAAACATTAAAATTACAGATTAAACACAAACAAAGACAAATAATAAGGATCAAGTCAACAGATGATATGCAAATGTCGACATAATGATATACAGTCTAGGAGAAAAGAGGATGATAATTACAAAGTTAGCTGAAACATCCAAATGAGCATCAATATTGTGATTAGATCGTTGAGAAGATATTTCTCAAATAATGATTACGTTACACTAATATTTACTTGAAGTTTGCACTTGATTTTCCCTATAACACAAGAGCTTATCAGTTCTATGTGATAATTTGTCAATCTTGATGATTATGAATCTCTAGCATCTTGTTGTTTCCTCTGTTATATTCGAAAAGTACGGTAGTGATATGAGGAGTGTGTCATGTCTTTTGACAGCTAGCTTATATTCGTGGATACGAAGACAAAGGGGACGTCCACTTTGACCAATGTAATGTTTTTCCCACTTGTTACAATTTATTTTGTAGCTAATGTTGGTTTTATCTTCTTTCGCTGTTGAGTCTTTTGGTTGACATAGAATTGAGTGAAGTGATTTTGTTGGTTTGTGTGCGACGTCAATTCCTAAAGGTTTGACGAGTCTTGCAGTGATTTCTGATATATCCTTTATATATGGCAGGGCGACTTTCTTTGTGCTTTTCTTGGGGGCTTTTGGTTTGATAGGTTGGCTTGGGGGTATTTGTCTTTTGATGAAATTCCGTGATCTTATCTTCAGTAACCTTGGTTCGATTAAACTGAACTTAGTGTAATAAGATGTAGATTTGAAACAGCGATCTGTGTGAGTTACTGACTCAATGTTCCACTAACCAAACCTAGAATTTCTACTAATTCGTTAGATCGTAGGCTTATTAAGTTCCTTTCATTGTAAGAAGTATATATATATATTGACTTCAGTAATATTTTTTCTGTATTTCATTGTGTGTGTGTGTGTGCGTGTGTGGGGAATTTGTCCTGTATCTGAAAAGTACCCTTTACTACACAAATTTATTCAACTTATCCTTTATTTAAAGCCAACAATCAGTAAAGCATTTGATTGAAGTCTTATTGAACAAAGAAAATCATGAATATATGTATATTTGGTAGATGGAATTTATAGTGTTCAAATGTAACTCTCTGGAAAACACCTTTATGTATAAGCCATTAGGGAGGCTAATTGTTGGTAGCATTACTTTTAATCAGATATCTTGTCGGTTATATAACATTCATACATTGTCATTACTATCCCTTCCTAGTAGAACATACGGCTTCAGTTTCTTTTATTCCTTTGCGTTCCGAGTGAAACATAGGGCTTCAAGCCTGAGCTTCTAGGCTTCAGCGGAATTTTGTGTAATTTTTTACGCGGAGTGGTTGCTAGCGTCACACCAAACCTATCCCCTTTACGGAGTCTACTGCCGGCTAAGGGAGCGTTAGAAGGACATCGGCTGGGAATCGAACTCCGGACTACATGCTTGGTTGGCGAGTATTCTATCACTGAACCACCGACAACCTCAGTAGCACATCCTTAACGTACGTCACTCTCTGCTGTCAATTTTAGCTGTCTCCAAGATTACCCACACAAGCTTTCATTTCCCCTTCACATGATCTCCTCCATGTTTTGCTCTGACACCCAACTAATCACTTCCCACTTATATTCCAATCAAATATCTCTTCATAGTATCTTCAATCCATCTCCGTTGTCTTCTGCATATTTGTTGAGTAATAGGTTGTGTTGACTGGTCCGTCGCCAGAGTTTCTTTCGATCCAACCACCTGAATTTCAATACTGAAGCCAGTGAAGGCATTTTTTTGTGACGAAACTCTGTTGGAAATGCTTTCTTTGACTGACATCAGAACCATGTCTGTGAATCACATTATATGCATACATCATAATTGAGGATAATTCATTTCAAAAAACATTATTATTATTATTATGCCATGTTTCATCAGTTTTATTTTAATTTCTATTCCATTAGGCTACTGTTGTTCGTCATACACCTACAAGTACAAATGCAAGTACATCGACTGATCATCCTACAACTATATTTATCCATAATAATAATAATAATAACAACAATAACAGCAGCAACAACAATAGCAATAATAATAATAGTAATAGTAATAATATTACAAATTGTACAATTAAAAAAGAAGCGGATACTTCTATTCAAGACGATCTGGACATATACAGTCCTCGGAAAGAGTATACTAAAAAATCTGTAGACTCTAGGGTAAGTATATTTTGATAATTTTGTTGTCAGTAATGATGTTCCACACCCTATAATGTCTAGGCCCTCTTAAAAAAATATGTATAAACCCTTATTGGTAAGTTGGTAGCATACAGTGAATGTTATTTGCTAAAATATAGTTATTCATCCATAGAAAAAACCCATTGGTTTTAGCGTTCAAAATTGATGTCTATAAAGTTTAACCTGGATTATATTACTATTGTCATCATCCATTCCCTTGGGTTCCGAATGGAACATAAGGCTCCAACAGAACATCTCCATTTCACCCTGTTCTCTGCATTCCTGATTTTCCATAAGCTTTCATCTCTTCCTCACACGATCTCCTCGATGTCACCCTTAGATACACGCCCAGCGCATCGTTTCCCACTCAGGTTCCACTAGAGAACCAGCCTAGTGTGTAAAGTCACTCAGCATGTGTCCACTCCATCTCCATTCCATTCTTATACTTGTTGGGCGATAAGTTCTTGGTCGGTTCGTTCTCAGGACTCCTTGTTGCTTCAGTGTCGAAACAACGTAGCTGTTGATAAAAGTCTGCAACAGTCTGTTGGAAATACTCTTCATAACGTGCTATGCCATTGGACACTTTGTCTACTTAATTATGTGCTTCTTTAAATCACTAGACCTTTATTCTTCTCTTACAGGTCATAACCCCTTTCTTCTCCTTTGTCTTTGTTATTTATTTCTCCAAGTCTAATCTGGTTGAGGTTCTTAATATCAATGAAGAACTTAAAGTGGCATACATGCTTCGAAAGTAGTCACATTTGTTATCATTAAAATTTTGAACACTTTATCAATTTACATTATTTTTACTTTATCTTTATGATTGTAAGTGAACTGAGCAGTGGTTAAATGTTTTGAGTTAGGATAAAATAGCCACTAATTTTCCTATGATTTTTTGATGACTTTGTAAGTGATTACAACCCATGAAGAAGCGGTTTCTCTCGAATGCATCTCAGTAAATTATTACTACATTATAATTATTGTCAATACTACTATTATTAGAACCATTAGAAGTTGCAGTAAGTTGAGTTTAATCTTTTAATGTGACTTCTTTGAATTGATGGTAATTTAGTATCCTCCTTGTGTAGTTTCTATCTTTTATCGATAATTATTCGGAAAATTAACTATATATGTTTGACAGAAGTGTTTTATATCATCTCTTTTGTTCTGTTGTAATGCTTGCATTATCTGTTATTATTATTATTCCCTCGCGTTCCGAATGGAACAAAGGACTTTAGAAGAATATTACCTGTTTGTCGTGTCCTCTTTAGTCCCATTCAGCTGGCTGCGTGATTGCTCATAGATTTTTGTCTCCTCCTCACACGATCTCTGCCGTGACACTCTTGGAAGCTCACCTCGTCATTTTCCGATCGGGCCTGGAGAGCAGTGTCACCCAACGGTCTCGTCAGCGTGTGTCAGATCCATCTCTTCCACATATTTGTTGAGCACTGGGTTCTTGATTGATTCTTTTCCAGACTTTTATGGCGCCAATTGTTTCAGGCTATCTGATTGTGAGTATGGAGCGAAGGCATCTGTTGATAAAAATCTGCTTAAGGCTGTTATAAATGCTTTTCTTGTGATATTGCATTGTCTAAAGTGCTAGAGGAGGTAGTCTTCTAACTATCAGTAACTGTTCATTCTGTCACATATATTCAGTATTCCAAAACACCATTTTCAGAAAAGAGTAATGTCAGTTAAGGTAGGATTAATGTGAAAACAAGTTTACAGGTGGTCAAGAATGATAAATGTAATAAACTGCCCAACTGTCGTATCGACATAAATTTTCTACATAAGTGTAGCAGTAATTCGAAAAAGCTAAAATGAAAGAAGATTTAGAATGAGAGAATAATTAGATAAAGATTGCTTAGAAGTTTCAGAATCTGCAACAGTGGTCTTCAGCCATTCATTCCTAGCATTCTACGAACAGTAGCCAGAAATGACTTGTGAAGTCTTTAGCCTGAGTCGTGTAAGCAAGAGTGAGTTTTCTGTCCGGCATCCTTGACTATTCCCCCTGTCTCTCTGTCTCATACAGGAGTCATGTTTATCTATTCTAGCTTCACTATATTTCTGCTATCTTCCTTTAATGTATACTGTTGCATAGCGTTACACATCTTGCAGATGGTTCACTTTTAGGCCATATTTCGACTGAAATTTTTTCCCCCTGTGTTCAATATTCTAATGTTTTGACCGTTAGAAGTTTCCTTTTCAACAGGTGTAGTTATGAATTGATATAGACCATTTGTTGTCAGGGTTCTAGCTGTTTGTAGGAATAATAATAATAATAACTTTATTCTAAACAGTGGTTAATATAATGTACAGAACTTTCAGTGGAAATCACTAAATAATAGTTTCTGTTTGTCCAGGATATTAAAGTAAAGTAGCAACTGACACAGCAGAGATTGCGTGACTCAATGTTGTCTGACCTGAAGCACAAAACCAATCGCTTGTGATATTTCTTCTTTGCCTTCTTCGATAAATGCACAATATTTGACTGAAAATATTAAATATCCCCATAGTAAAATTTAGAACAACACATTTAAGCGAACTAAATTGTCTTCAATTAGATCTCATTAGGCCTAACTCTAATATGCATAGCTTCACAAATAAATATTCAAATATAAACCAACCCGGAATGCGGTAGATAACCGAGAACTCTTGCTCTGGTTTTATTGAGTGTCCAGTATCTACCATGTGGGCTAAGACCGCACTATTTCTGCCCTTATTGATGATTTATTAAGTCTTTAACAATTTGAGATAGCCTTGGATCAGTAGGCTACCGTGTTAATATTAATGGGTGAAGATTTAAGGTAAAATGAAAACGCGGATCGTGATAAGATCAGTCATTTAACGCTCTACCGGCTGATCTACATAACTCAACTACTGGCGAGATCATCATTTTGACTAAAATCGTCAGGAGAATGAATGTTACGTAACTGTCCATATACTACTTTACTAGCTGCCCAGCTAGGTTTCTTCTGGTCAGTTGTCAATCAGTCAGTCACTTTGTTACATTCCAAGGGACACAAAAGGTTTCAAGCTGTGAAGTTTCAGTAGTGTTTGTCTTGTTTTTCACAGTGTGAGTTTGCTAGCCTCACTCACGCCCGACTTTCTCTCTTTACCGGGCCTAACTATCCGCTAAGCGAGGTTTAGGAGTGCATCGGTTGGGAAGTGGACCCCTTACCAGGTGATTGGCTGGAGAGCATTCTTACCCTTAAACTACTCATACACTCTGGTCAATCCTGATCCTACTGTGAATTAGTAATTCGACAAATTATTCAGGTCATTACCAATCTTATGTCATTCAATGGATACGCAAAGTAAATGCATGCATAATCGCTTTCTATATTAGACAAGTTTATTTTAAATGTCACACAGCCATGCAGTATCAACAAATGGATGGCTGTGTGATATTTAAAATAAACTAATATGGAATTACATTCTACCATAGTGCCCAAGTCCTACATTAACATTAATATTATTAATTGGTGGTGACACTATCTGCGATAGTATTGGATTGGTAGACTGTTAATGATGTCGATAATAAGTGAGAGTGAAATGATGGGACTGGCTTGTGTTACCAGGGTGCAACCTTGTTGCTGATTTAGAGAATGCGGATGATACTCTCCTTTTTATAGGTGAAGGCTCTGAAAAAATGCAGAGTCTTCTGACACACCTTGAACAGAAATCTTCGAATGTTTAACATACGATTCGTTTCTGTCAAATGTAAAGTTATGCTGCAGGACTGGACTGCGCTGACTCCCAACTTAAAGAGATAGGGAGTGAAGTGGTAGAACGTTTTGACTACTTCACTTATTTGGGAAGCTATATCAGCCCCAATAAACTGATTGATGCTGAAATCTCGGCATGGATACAAAAGATTCATATGGTATTTGCCAACGTAAGTCATCTCTGGTGTAGACGTGATATCCGGCTAGCTATCGATCAAGGGACGTGTGTACTGCGCAGAATTTATCTCTGTTCTCTTTTATGACTGTGCAGCATGGCCATTTAGAGTGGAAGACACGAAAATGCTAGCTGTCTTCGATCACAGATGTTCTATCTCCCATGTTAGGCAGTTTAATAGAGTGAATAATGTTCTGCCTAGGTGTAGAGTGTTAGGGACGGAGAGGGGGGCAAATCAATCGATAAGGTTGTGATTTTACAGCGATTGAGATGGCTAGGACACGTGTTGTGCATTCCGAGCCACTACCTTCCTCCATGAAAAGTGTTACGTGACTTCGGATTAGGTTGGAAAAGAGTTACAGGTGGTTAAACCAAAACCTGGAATCATTCCAAGAAATCTTAAACAGTGAGTCCCATCCAGGCACGTAGGGAGGTGTAGACTGTCTGGTTTGGATTCTCGAGATGGTAAAAACCAATGTCTGGAGACAACTGGTGATTTGTCACAAAATTGTTCTCACTGGCTCAGATGCATTCACTCTTTGTTGTAGTCTCTTGTATTGGTTAAACCGTCTTGTTTTTTCCCTGCTACCATTCTTTCTCCTTCATAGTTCTGTTTATGATAGTCCCTTTGAATCTCCTTTTCTCTCTTTTTTTTCTGCCTTTGGGTGCTACATGAAGTACGATAACTTGAAGCGATGTACTTCTGTGCACAGACAGGAATGTACCAGTGCGACATACTATAAACCTTAAGTGATATCATCAAGCTTTTAGTTAGTTTACTTTAAACACCTCAAAACAAAAAGACGAAGTGTTATAAATAACTTCAAAATTCTATCAATCTTCAACTGGTGGTGGTTATTTTGTGTAAGGATAGACAGTTTCATTGGTTCTCTACCTGATATCAATGCGTGATGGAACTTGAAACAAATCAAAACCCTATAAACTAACCATTGAGAATTAATCCGATACTCTGTAGTGATTGGCTAAAGGCCACGAAGTTGCCTGGAATTCTAGTGAGAAGTCATGACCATTTGGGTTCATCCGGTCAGGAGGGAGAGTGAGTACTTGCCGATGAAACT